TCAGACTTGGTACACCATCAATAAAAGATGTGTTATAAAGATTGTAGAGATCGGACAAATTTTTCTGGTACCTACCCCACAAAGAGCCAATATTTTGAATAACCAAAACGATTATAAAATCCGAAATAAGAACCCGGTTCTCTTCAAGTTTCACACATGACATTATTTTTACTAACACAAGATCTGCTGTGAAAATGACATGTATCGGTCTACTCCTTCTGGCACTCTCCCCACAAAGGATTCAAAATTAAAAAAAAAAAAAAAACGTTCATATAACGCAAAATAAGCATCCAACTCTCTTCAAATATCTGCCAACCCCTTCTGGCACCTCAACCACAAAGGGTCAAAAATGTCAGTACTTATATATGTCATAACTTGCGAAACAAGTAAGCGATTCTTTACAACCTGCTATCTAAATATTTCTCTCTATACCAAAAACCTCCATAAAATTGGACAAAAATCATCGATTTTCATTAAATTTTACCAATACCGAAATTTTTATCTCGCAAATTTTAATATTTTCTAAAAATGATCACATATCCCATATAAAGTGAAGGAAGTAGTCGATGCAGTCCAAACCTGGGACGTCGCAATATTTATATCGTATTTATTTAGGACCGATACGAAATTGGTAATATTGGCCCATTCCATCGGAGCCTACTCCATAGAGGATCAAAAATTTGAAAAATTATAACAGAAGTCGGAATATATTTAATTAATCGAACATTGGCTGAGGGTATACATCTGTCGGCACAACCGACTTATACTTTTTAACTTGTTTTAAGTATTATTTCACTGATAATCACAGGATTTCAGAATTTGTCGTAAATATTTCAAGAGCTTAAATAAATAGATTAATGTCTATACAAATAAGAATCGTGAATTAAAATTTTATTTTCAATGGTAGAATTTCAAATTATATTTAAGGTTAATCAGAGGAACCAAACAATAATTTATTTTAAAGTTGTATTTCAGAGCGACACCAAACCGTTACTGCCATGATTTACTTTTACCTGCCTTTAGACATTTTTTTTTAAATTCGTTAAAAGTTAAATCTCCAGCACGATCTTTTATGATTTTTAACTTCATATATTAATTAATCCTAAGGTAAATAAATGTTTGTTAAGTCATCTTCAATGTTTGGCAAAATAATACCTAAGCTCGTGATATTTCTTGTTGTTGGTGAGTTTTTTTTTTTTTTGAATTTTTTTACCTACACCTAACATCCAAAAACAAACTTCAAATCCAATACCGTCTATGACGTAGGTATGTCACAGACAATTTATACATGAATTCAACTTCCCATGAAACGGCTTTGAAGACGCCTTCACACATTTATTTGTTAAATCTCAGATTTGGTGACCGAGTTATTTCAAAGAAATGACTAATGCTTTAGGCACTCCTTCCTGGAATTCGACAACTTAAAAATATATTTTTCTCCAAAAACGTTTCATTGCTATATTAGACAATTCTGGGGAAAAAAGGCAACAACTGATGGCATTGAAGATATTGTTTTTGATGAGCCGTTGACGAAATGACAACGGTTATATTTGAAGAAATTGTGCCAAACATGGATACTCAAGTGTTCATTCAGCAATGTTTTTTTTTTCATTTTTAAAATTGAATATTTATTTTTATAAACAATTTTTTAATTTTTTTCTTTGAATTTATTTTTTTGTGAAGTTATTTTAATTTATGAAAAAGTTCTTGTTTTTTTTTTCTCAAAAAATCCCCTCTGTATAAACATACATACCATTAATAATCTCAAGTCTTAATTTCAAATGTATGAATATTTTATGACTTCATATTTCGACCTATCTTACCCATTGTTACCCATGTTAAAAATAGTTAATGTTTGGCTCGTTTTTACGATTAAATGCATCAAACCGGCTTTCGGATTTTACTTTCTTCAACATTTGAATATTTTAAATTTGAAACTAAGAAACAAGAACCCCTAAAGTTATTAAGCTCCATTTCGTGTTTGAAACGTTCTTCTAAATAAAAAGATTAATTATAATAAATAAAGCACGAGACCAAAAGCTTGGACAAAAAAGCTATGAGTCAATAGATATTTAGGAATGCGGACGACCATATGAAACCATATATAACGGTTCAAAAGAGTAATAAGCCTCAAAAAGGCATTTAATACATCAAAAATTTAAAAAGGGGATGTATATATAAAATGTCCTTAATACGTGTTGGAAATTAAAATATCTCATACAAATTACCATTAATCGGCTTACAGATAAATTACTTTCCTCAGGTCTCTCTGTGGAAAATATACAAGAAGTTGGAAATTGTGCATTTAATGAACTCAATTCACGAAACCATAGACAAATAAAGGTATAGACTAAAAAGTTTTAAAATTTACCCCTTCCGGCAGATGTCACTATGGTTGATCTTGGGCCAGTAAATCACTCAGGGCTAGTAAAGTCACTCGACTTCGAAAAAAATGTATTCACTTTTCTGCTATTTAAGTTATATGTTTTAATATTTCACGACATAGTCGGATAATGTAAATGTAAACAAAGTCACTATTTCATTTTGAATTGATAAATAATAAGAAATGATAAAAATATTCAATATTTTGTATTTTGAGAGAATTGAGTGAATAGGCTTATGCTCTCTAACAGATGAGACAACTTTTTAGTCTATACATTTATTTGTCTATGATGAAACTACAAATATTACTGTTTTCTGAGAGAGAGAGAGCAAAAAATAGAATCAGGGAATTTCGTTTTATGAGCAAATGGTATTCATCTTCGGCAATTTCATTAATAATTATTTTTTTCTTTTACCTATTTGTTTATGAATTTTTTATTGCAATATCAGACTTTAAACAAGTAAAAAAAACATTAAGTTCGGCCGAAAACCTCTATAGACATAATTAATACTTCACAGATTGTCATCTACCAAATCCTCTTAAATACCGAATTTGAAACAATTTCGTTGGTAAATGTGACTAGGACTATCAAAATACTTAATATCGGTGGGGCTATACCAAAATGTGGATCTATATATGTACAATGTTACGGAGCTAGAACCCATTACGACATACAAATACTAATTTTTGGACAAATCCGTGGAAAATATGGCAAAAGTCATCAAAACACCGAATATTCAAAACGTTGACCGATATATCTCATTTTCAATACCAACCATTCTAGACACAATTCAAATTGTCCTGCAAATTTTTAAGATCTACGTCAAATAATGTCAACAGACAAACGGACAGACAGGCGGTCATCCTTAAATTGACTTAAAATTTTATGCTGATTATGAATATATATACTTTATGGTGTCCCAGACGAATATTTGGGGATGTTACAAACGGAATGACAACGTTAATATACCATCCTTTTCAAGGTGGGGGGTATAAAAATATTGGTATGGGCGAAATTAAAAGAAAATCGAATATTTATCTCCAAATTTTATGCGAAATCATAAATTTCATATTCATCTCAGGATTCTGGTTGAGAGAAATATTTAGATATAGGAGTTGTAAAGAATCGCTGACTTGTTTCGCAAGTTATGACAGAAAAAAATATTGGAAATTTCGACCCTTTTTGGGTGAGGCACCAGAAGGGGTTCGCAGATATATATCATCTTCATAACAGATCTTGTGTCCGCAAAAATGTTTGTGTGAAATTTGAAGAGAGTAGGATGCTTATTTCGGCTTTTAAAAGCATTTTGGTTAAATGTTTAAACTTTGTAGGGGAGGTATCTAAAGGAATGGCTCGATCTCTACCATCTTTATAACATATCTTATGTTAATGGAAATATTGAGATGTACCAAGTCTGAATGGATGTTCATTTCGCGTTATATGAGCTTCACAGATATTCAAAATTTTAACCCTTTGTGGGTGAGGTACCAGAAGGAGTGGACCGATATATCCATCTTTACAGCAGATCTTGTGTTTAATAGAAATAATGGGATGTCTGAAATATGAAGAGAAGTGTATTCTTATTTCGGATTTTATAATCGTTTTGCTTACTCAAATTTTTAACCCTATGGGGGGAGGTATCTGAGGAAAGGGCTCGATCTCTACCATGTTTTTAACAGATTTTGTGTTGATGGAAATATTGAGATGTACCAAGCTGAATGGAATTGGATGTTAATTTCGCGTTTTTTAAACTTCATGAATATTGAAATTTTTGACTCTTTTGTGGGGGTGGTGCCAAAACGAGTGAACCGATAGACTCCATCTTCACACCAGACCTTGGCCTTGACCTTGGCTTAATAAAAAAATTGTGATGTATGTAGTTTGCATCACATTTAACATATAAGTTATAATTATTTAAAATTTTGACCCTTTGGGGAGGAAGTACTTGATGAGGTGGACCGATGCTGTCCGTTTTTGCACCTGACGTAGCACTGATGGAAATATTTACAAAGTTGGAGCAAAATCAGATCATCCTTTCTGACTCTGTGCAGTAAAATATATATTTTTTGTTTGAAAATTCCGACCAGAAGGAGTGGACCGATATTGCCCATCTCTGAATTTGATCTAAGTTTGATAATAATATTACGATGTATCAAGTTTGGATCAAATTGTATGCTACCTTCGAGAGTTATCGGGCGCAACAGAAGTATGGACATCGCTAGATCGACTCCAAATGTCATTTGTTCCATATCTCAGGAAGACACACACTGTGGTACAGGTAGTTCCTTGTGCACAAAATGCGTAATATCAGTCCGAGTCAAATGAATTTTAGCACACACGGCCAGGTTCAGTCCGGAAGTATGTCTGGCAATTTGGGTAAAAATAGGCTCAGAGTACTTACCAATATTTCCTAATTTGCTGCAAATTTTCTTAAAATTTAACTGTGCATCATTGATTTAATATGGATTATGTATGTCCATTTTTCCTTTGTAGTCATATTGTCCATATAATTTTGACAACTTTTTGGTGTTTTTAATTCTAAACATAAAGAAACATTTCTTGCAGAATATTATCGATATATGTTGACGTTTTGGTATAACCCTTACATAAATATATCCAATGGTAGAAGAATACATTGATATGTCAACATTTTTTTAATTTTTTGTCAAAAATAAGTAGATATATGTTTTTTATACGAAACCAATTAGAAGTTGTTATGGTACGCATTGTTCAACAATTTTAACGAATTTGAATATTTTTCATTCAAAATGTTCATTTTCAAAATTTCTTTGACAGTTTTTGGTCCCAGCAGCTATGTTGTATTCTTCTTCCATAATAAATCCTTTAATCATGGTACCCTAATTTTAATTATTTCGAGGATCTTGGACATATTTTTCAACTGATTTGGCTGTAACATGCATTCTCAGGGCGTAGAATGCCTCTTCGATGTAAGCAATTTAAATGATTACTTTATTTCCTTTTAACTCGCTCTCTTTCTCTTTTTCTCTCTCTCTCTCTCTAAAACAAAATGCGAAACAGAACGTTAAAACGCGTGATTAAGCTGGCCAATTTTTTGATTATATGTCAAAAAAAATAAAAAAAAAAACTTCTTAAGATGCGTAGTTTTGGAGTCGGGGTAAGGCAATCGTAATACCCTTTAAAAATACCAACAACCTTCCAGCACTAAAATATTAATTTTCACTCCCAAAACCTTTAATATTTGACCTAAAACTCGTATTACTATGAATTTGACAAGCAAAATTAATTTGAACTTCAAACCCGTTTGTAAGCCATAATATTTTGTAAATAAAAAAATTAGAAGAAGCAAGGAAATGTAAGATATTAATATTACGTTTTTTTATGTTTATTATTTTCACATTTACATATAAATCATTTGACAATTTAACTTATCAGATAGAGCCAGCAGCGTGTGGCCCCCTGTTTTGTCTTTATAACCCGCCTTAGATGGCATAGATAAATTTCCATGAAATATATAACTTTATTGGCTTGTTTGTAAACAACGGAGGCAACTTCTGTCAACGGCATTTAGTGGCAAATTATAAACAAAACGTTTTTTTTTGGTTCCGTGTTAAATTTGCATTCACCAGTTACACATTGTCTAATTAGACTAGACAATTGTTATAGTTGCTGTAAAACTAAATATTTACAAATTATTAAATTATATCAAATAATATTTTTTTTATGAATATATTGTTAAGGTTATGTAATGATAAAAAAATTAGATACGATTGTTAGAATTTGATGGAAAATGATTCTATACAGGGTGAGATGAAAAAACTGCAACCAACTTCAGACTGGTGTCACGTCTAAGCACTCGTACGACAGCTGTTAAAATTAATCCAGTGACAGCTCATTATATTGCTCACAAGTGTACAAAAGCATTTTGGTGAGAATTTTCCAGAAAAAATGTTATTCGTGATGGAATTCAAGCGTGATAGTTTGATTTCTTTATATTTGGCTGGAAAACCACAAGTGGCTATCGTTAGAGCACTCCAGCATTTAAATGTGAATAAATTGTTTGTGTCTCATCATCGTACCATTGTTCGTCACTCGGTCGGTGATACTGGTAGCGTAGCCCGACGTCAAGGAAGTGAATGGAAGAAAACACCAACATCAGCAGAAATGGTTCGAAAAGTAGTATGGCTCGTGAGTTGAACATATCGCAATATTCCATTCCGCAAATATTGAAAAATGAGTTCGGTGTAAAGCCATTGAAATTCCAAAAAGTGCAAGAACTTACACCGCAACATAAAGAAAATAGACTCACAAGAGCTAAAGAGTTGCTTCGCTTGGCCAAAAGTGGTGAACCTCCGAATTTGGTTTTCTCCGTTAAGAAAACATTCGTTGTCCAGCAGTTTGTAAACAAATAAAATGATCGTGTTTACTTGCCAAAGAGGTCAGCTGAAAATGTGCACCTTCGGTTGGCCACCAGAACTCAAACGCCGGCCATGGTCATGGTGTGGGCCGTCATAACTGCCGATGGTTGCTCTCCGCTTGTATTTATCGACCATGGCATCAGAATAAATGCCGAATATTATCGCGAAAATATTCTGGAAGGGTGTATTAAAGCCTTGGACATGCAAACATTCTGGCCACAGACCTTGGACATTTCAACAGGACTCAGCACCATCGCACTCAGCACGCCACCGCCACTCAAGAATGGTCACATAATGAGGTTCCTCGCTTCAATTCCAGAGCACAATGGCCACCAAAATCTCGGGATACCAATCCGTTGGCCCAATTGTGTCTGGAGTATTTTGGAAAGCAAGGTTGGCACTAAAAAATACAAAAGTGTCGATCACCTCAAGCAAGCGCTTCGCCGGCAATGGACCAAAATACCGCAGAGCAGCATTCGGGCAGCGCTTGATGGTTTCAGTGGCCTTTTGAAGGCCATAATTCGTGCCAAAGGTGACCAATTCGAACAAATCTAAACTTATTCTAAAATTTGATTATATTTCCGACATTTTTGGCTTTAATTCAATAAAATTAAAAAAAAAATAAAAATTATGGTGTTCGATTTTGTTGCTGTTTTTTATCTCACCCTGTATATGGGAGCTATATCCAAATCTCAGGTGATCTCGTTAAAATTTGGCAATGGTATTTCCGAGATCTACAAGATATCCGGTATCAATGTTAATGTTAATGTATATTATGAATGTGGGGGACTTAAACACCTAATCGAATGAACCATATATATGGGAGCTAAAGCTATATCTTAACCGATTTTCACCAACTTTGAGGTATTTGCTTCTAGACCTAATTCGGTCGAATGTACCAAAATTCCGGTCGTTTGGACTAGTATTGGCCATTTGGTGGACTATTAACCCGAAATCGGTTGAAGATATCTATGGGAGCTATATCCAAATCTGAACCGATCTTGATAAGATTTGGCAGAGGTTTTCCCAAGCTCTATATGATATCTCATACCAAATATCATTGTCCCTAAATGTTTATTAAGGATTTGAGAGACTTAAAACCCAAAATCGGTTGAAACATTTATAAGGAAGCTATAGCTATATCTGAACCGATTTTCACCAAATTTTATGTACTTGCTTCTAGACTAAATTCGGTTGGGTTTGTTAAAATTCAGGTAATTTGGAATGATATTGGCCATTTGGTGCACAATTAACGCGAAATCGGTTGAAGAAATCTATGGGAGCTATATCCAAATCTGAACCGATCTTGATAAGATTTGGCAGAGGTTTTTCCGAGCTCTATATGATATCTGATACCAAATATCATTGTCCCTAAATGTTTATTAAGGATTTGAGAGACTTAAAACCCAAAATCGGTTGAAACATTTATAAGGGAGCTATAGCTATATCTGAACCGATTTTCATGTACTTGCTTCTAGACTAAATTTGGTTGGACTTGTCAAAATTCATTTCATTTGGACTTATATTAGCCATTTGGTGCACAATTAACTCAAAATCGGCGTAAGATATATATCCTATATCCAAATCTGAACCTATCTTGATTCAATTTGGCAGGGGTATTTCTGGACAATATCTGGTACCAAATATTATTGTTGTCGAATCCATATTACGCATGTGAGGGACTTAAACCCCCAAATTAATCCGAAATCGGTTGATAATATGTGGGAGCTATATCTAAATCTTCGTCATTCGGCCAAACAAATATTGTTTGGAAAATTTCAGCCCAATCGGATAATAAATGCGACCTGCATTTTATTCACAAGAATACATGGACGGACTAACATGCATAAATCGACTCAAAAAGTGATTCTATGAAGATCCTCAAAAGTAACTATGGATCTATCTCGCTTCCTTCTCCATGTTACAAACAAATGCACAAAGACATAATACCCTAATACTATGTGGTGTAGGGTATAAAAATGTATCAACACAATTCTAGCAAGCGTCTCCCAATGTCGATGAAATGAATTAGCAAATTGTTTACAGATTTCCTTCTATCGTGTAGCAAGTTTATTGACACCACACTGTCGGCGCTTCCTCTGGGATTTTTATTTTTTATTTATTTATAATTTTGAAACACTTTCATCACTTTCAATTGCATTTTGTCTAAAACAAAGAGGAAACACCTTAATTCATTTCATTTTTTCAAAATGTTTATCTTCAAAATTTCACTGGAATTTACCCCTTAATGCTCAAAATAATATGCAGTTATCTCCTTCCTTTGGATTACAGCTGAGTGTTCCATGGACATGTGTTAGCATGAACACTCATTCCATGCATTAGTTCAATGATTCATTTCCGACTATCGACCGTTATCATTTCAATGGCAATCGGTGAGAGCGCTCACTCACTATTTGTCAATATTATCGAAAGGTTAGGATTCCTAAAAAAGAGAAAGAGAGAGAGAAAAACTAGTTGTGTAATTATTATTAAATTTTGTTAATTTTACTTTCACTTGATGATTGGAATAGATAACAATGGAAATGGCAGAGAAATAAACAAAAAATTAAAAGTAAAAAAATACCTAAGTAAATGTAAAAACAATTATGTTAAAAATGCCGCTATAATTCAAAAGGTGTTACGGTTATATGGGGCTATACGAAAACGTAGACCTTTACAGTCAATTATCTGCCAGGAAAGACGGTGCCAATTACAAATTCCAAACACCAAGTTGAAGATGATTACATGGTAGAAGAATAAAGGTAAATGCATCAACGCTTGGGAGCATTAATATATGAAACATTTTAAAATGATTTTTTGAAGAATACGAATTTGAATTTTTTCATTCATAATTTGCAATTTCAAAATTGGTGTGACAGTTCATTGTCTCAGCAACTGTTTCGATGTCACTACCTGTATTCTTCTACAATGGATAATTCTTTTTAATAAATTTAGCTAAAGTCAGGGGGCCACACGAAGACGTGAATTTTGTATGGACAATTTTTAGTCATAGAAAACTGTATGCTCCATATTCCAAATTATACCGTATATGGGAGCTATGCGAAGGTGTGGACATGTAGAGAACATTTTCTGTCATAGGAGGGTAGAACCCATTACGAACTCTAAATACCGAGATTTAAATAATTCCCGTGAAAACTTTGATACAAATCATCAAAATACCGAATATCTGGAGGTGCAGGTACATAGGGTGAGATGAAAAACTGCAACAAAATTTTTACATTTTGTTTTTAAATTTTATTGAATAAAAGCAAAAAATGTCGGAAATAGCATCAAATTTTAGAATAAGTTTAGATTTGTTCGAATTGGTCACCTTTGGCATAAATTATGGCCTTCAAACGGCCAATGAAACTGTCACACTTTGCCCAATGTTGCGGCATTTTTGCCCATTCCCAGGGAAGCGTTTGCTTGAGGTGATCGACACTTTGGTATTTTTTATTGAGAACCTTATTTTCCAAAATACTCCAGACACAATAGTCCAACGGATTGGTATCCGGAGATTTTGGTGGCCATTGTGCGCTGAAAAAGAAAGCGAGGAACCTCATTTTGTAACCATTATAGTGTGGCGCGTGCTGAGTGCGATGGTGCTGAGTCTTGCTGGTATGTCCAAGGTCTGCGGCAAAAATGTTTACGTGCCCAAGGCTTTTAATACACCCTCCAGAATATGTTTGTGATAATATTCGACGCTTATTCTGATGCCACAGTCTATTAATACGAGCGGAGAGCGACCATCGGCTGTTATGGCGGCCCACACCATCATCATGGCCGGCGCTTGAGTTATGGTGGCCAACCGAAGGTGCACACTTTCAGCTGGCCTCTTTGGCAAGTAGACACGATCATTTTGTTTGTTTACAAACTGCTGGACAACGAATGTTTTCTCATCAGAGCGGAGAAAATCAAATTCAAATT